TTGAGCCAGTCTGGCTCTGTCACCCAGGCTGGAGTGCAGTGGCACGATCTCGGCTCACTGCAACCTCTGCCTCCCGGATTCAAGTGATCCTCCTGCCTCAGCCTCCTGAGTAGCTGGGACTACAGGCATATGCTACTGTGTCCGGCTAATTCTTTTTGTATTTTTAGTAGAGACGGGGTTTCACCATTTTGGCCAGGCTGGTCTCGAACTCCTGACCTTGTGATCCACCCGCCTTGATTTCCCCGGGTGCTGGGATTACAGGCGTGAGCCACTGCGCCCGGCGCATTTTACATATATTTAATTATTTCCATTTTATAGATTAGAAACATGAGGCCCAGAGAGCTTAGGAAAGCTGCATAAGCCACAGGGGAGAGGTGAGCTTCACTGCAGCCGTCTGGGTGGCCCTTGCCGCTGTCCCTCCCCCACCCCATGCCCTCTCACAGTAATGGCGTTTGTGGCACCTGCTCATCTTCCTCCCCTGCCTCCCTCCTGGGGCAGGAGCTGTGCTGTCCGTGTGCCTGAGACCCTTGAGACCCCCCTTGCTCCGGAAGTCCCCTTAAGGTTTGCATCATGGAACTCACCTGGCCCAACCCCTCAGGGAGGAAAGTCCCATCCAGAGAGGGTAAGCAACTCGTTTGGGCCCTACAGCCAGAAAGCAAGAGTGTGCGAGTCTCCCAGCGCCGGGCCCGATGCCAGCCTCAGCAGGGGTGACTGTGCCCAGCACCCGTGGCGGGAAGGCCCATGCTTGTTTGTGTCTATGGGTGTCCCCTGGGCTGCTCCAGCCCTCGGGCCGTGGTCGACCAGGTGCCTCTCCCTTTAGGAGGTCCAAGCCAGGACTCTACTCTGGACAGAGAGCCTGTCCCTGCAAGGGAGAGCCGGTCAGCCCTGGGCCCCGGCTGGCTGCAGCGTTGAAACCTCTTATCCACGTGTGATGGGAGCCCCCTGCTGTCCAGAGCGAGGAGCTGCAGAATGGCAGGAAGGCGAGCAGAGATGCCCTGGGAAGGCTGAGGGGGGTCAGTGAGTCAGAGCCCAAAGCCCCAAGCTCCTGGCTTGTGACATGGCCGCTCCAGGTATCCTGCCTCCTCTGGAGGCATCAACATTCTCATAGTTCTTGAGGCCTCCGGACATTTGCACCTGCGGATGCTGAGGGCCCTTTATCAGTTAACTTCAGGTGAACCAGCAGTTATTATGCACCTACTGTGTGCCGGGCACTGAGCAGGTGTACAGTCTGGCCCACAAGGAGCTCACGGTCTGGTGCGGGGCAGACATGACGTGAGCTCACTGCATCAGCAGGTGTGTGTCCTGTGTCTGGCCTGGCCGCCAACGCGCAAGCACCCTCCTCACGGAAGCCTCCCCTCTGCCCAGCCCAGCCCTCCACTGCCTGCTCTGCCACCTCTGGAACAGCATGTGTTCAGGACTGCAGGAATGTGGGCCCCGTGCAGGCAGGGACTGCCTTGTTGTACGAGTGCCTGGGGCAGTGCCTGGAACATCGCTGGTGCTCAATAAATGTTTGTGGGTTATCAGATTCAAGCTCCTCCATTACCCGCCACATGCTCCTTGGAGCAGCAGTGCCTGCACTCCAGCAACAAGGGACTTCCTCCTCACCTCCCACGGCGGCTTTTTTCTGCCCTTTCCCCCTTCCCTTCCTCTCTCCCTCCTTTCTTTTTTTTTCTTTCTCTTTCTCTCTTTCTCTCTCTCTCTTTCGTCTCACTCTGTTGCCCAGGCTGGAGTGCAGGATCTCGGCTCACTGCAGTCTCTGCCTCCTGCCCAGCCAGTAGCTGGGATTACAGGCATGCGCCGCCATGCCTAAGTTTTGGTGTTTTTAGTAGAGACGGATCTCCCCAGGTCGGCCAGCCTGATATCAAACTCCTGACTCCGGAGTCAGCCCACCTTAGCCTCCCAAAGTGCGGGATTATAGGCGGGGGCCATTGTGCCTGGCTCTTTTTTATCTTTGGAGACGGAGTCTCGCTCTGTCACCCAGGCTGGAGTGCAGTGGCGCCATCTCGGCTCACTGTAACCTCCGCCTCCCAGGTTCAAGCAATTCTCCTGCCTCAGCCTCCAGAGTAGTGGGGATTACAGGTGCCCAATACCACACCAGCTAATTTTTGTATTTTTAGTAAAGACGGTTTCACCATGTTGGCCAGGCTTGTCTTGACCTCCTGACCTCAACTGATCCACCTGCCTCAGCCTCTCAAAGTGCTGGGATCACAGGTGTGAGCCACTGTGCCTGGCCGGCAGCGGCTCTTCCTATCTTTAGGCAGCACTGCCTGCTGGAAAGTTCTTTTCCTTTCCCTGGGTTTGCCAGAGCCAACTCGCCTGCCTCAGCTCTGCAGAAGCCCCACTGGCTGTCTAGCCTCTGGGGATGGCTCTTGTGCAACGTGGCAGCCAGCATCCCAGGGATGGGGTACCGGGGCCTTCTGAGTGACCAGCTTCCCTGCCTGGCCCTCCTGCCCTCCGAGGGGACAGGGACAGAGGTGGAAGGCCCAGGCGGGGTCAAGGTGGCAGCCGCAGTCACAGAGAGGACAGAGCCCACTCATGAGTTGGATCATGAGTTTTATTCTCTTTTCGGAGTGACTCCTAGAACCACCACTTATGCCCAGAAAATCCATCCCCTCCATGCTGGAGGAAGCTGAGGACCAGCAAGGAGACTGGAGCAGACTAAGGGAGTAGCTGGTGTGTACAGGGGCAGGACAGAGTCTCTGACCCCTGACCCCAGCCCAGTGCTCCTTCCACCAGCCCAGCTGCTCTTTCATGAGCCAATGAGGTGACAGAGGCGGGGCTTAGTTCATAGGCTGACAAGGATCTGTGGATGTCCTCAACTGTCCTGCAAAGTCTCGTCCTGTAGATGCCCAACCCAGACCTTGTCTGGTACAATGTCACTACCGGGTGCTTGCACACCTCCGGAGACAGGAGTCTCACCACCTCATGAGGCTGCTACTCCATCCTGAGCCTGAGGAAGGTGTGCACATTTGGGGGTGGGTGGGGATGGGGCGGGGTGCCTGGTGAGCTTCGGTTCCTCCGGGGAATCCACCTGCTTCCTCGCTGACTCAGGCTGGCAGTGGGGCAGCCACATTTCCTGCTCCCCTGCCAAGGAATTTCCCTCCAGGGGCTCCCCCAGGCCTGTGTGAAGGGGCGAGAAGTGCTTCCTGTTAGAGGACTCCTCCTCTGGGCCAGGGCTCCCTGGAGACACAGCTGGCTGCCTGGGTACTGGGAGTCGGCTCTACTCTGATGATACTGCTGCAGAGGGTCCCGAGATGCTGGGACCTGCAGGCTGCCCCTCATCACCATGGGGCTGTTGGTCAGCTGTCTCGCAGGGAAGCCCTGGCCAAGACTCTGCCTCTCCAAGCATGGGCTCTGTGTTACTTGCTGGCTCAGCCACTGCCTCCAGGCAGCCCTCCTGGTAACCACAGTGTGCAAGACTCTCTCTTCTTGGCTTCTTGGATGGAGCACCCATCTTGCTTGAATCCCATCTGTCCGGGATGCTCTCCATCATTTTCTTGAGGGTCCCTCCTGCTCCTCTCCCCAAAATGGGCATCCTGGAAGGTGGAGTCCACAGTGCTCTTCTATCGCCCTCAACCTTGAATCCAGAGTCTGCCTGGCTCTGTAAACAAGCGCTGCCATCTCCAGCCGGAAGCTGGGCACAGGGCTGGCAGGGCCCGAGACGTTTCCAGTCCCAACACTGCAGTTTTGCAAGAACTAGAGAGTGGGCATGACTTGGCAGAGGGCACACAGCGAGTCAGAGACGGAGCTGGGACTGAGCCCGCGGAGTCTGGGCTCCTAGGGCAGGTCCTGGGGTTCTGTCCCCGGTCCTATCTGTGGGTCTGAGCCGTGTGCGCTGAGCTCTGCTCAGGCAGGGAGGGTCAAGCCCAACCTGAGGACAGAGGAGGGGCTGGCAGAGAGAACTTGAGCCGAAGGAAGAGCCTTGCCAAGGAGAAGCAGCACGCAGGGACCCCACAGCCCCTCCTGCTTTGAGGGCTGACAGCATCTCAAAGCGCAAAGCGCTCCTTCAGAGCTGAGGGCACTGGGGCCCAGAGAGAAGAAGGGATGCTGCGCTCTGGGCCGGTTTCCTCTGGCTGCCCTCCTCACCCCTTCCTGTAGTGCACATAGGGCAGGGGCCTGCAGCTGGGTGCCCAGGCCAGGGGACCTCATTGCTGGACTCTGAGCCCACTGTACCCACCACCCACCCTCCTGACCTCTGCTTTCCCATCAAGAGTCAGCTCGAGGTAATGGGGGGCGGGGGGGCGCAGTGATGTCTGCGGCCCAAAAGGGTGCATGGGGTGGGGGGTGGGGCTCCCGGGATGACCGCCCCAGGGCTGCCTCCAGGAATCTCACTGCTGGCTGGCGATCTTCTTCTTCCGAGTGGAGACCAGGTCATAGAAGGGGACGCGGGTGATGCTGGCTCTGGAGGGAGAGTGAGAGGAGAGATTTCAGGGCTGGACTGGCCATCAAGGGAGTCTGGTCTTCCAGGGCTCCTATGAGAGGCAGGAGACTCCCAGGGCTGTGTCAGCCTGCTCTGCAGCAGCGGAAAGGCCAGATGGCCCCAACAGGCCAGGTGCGGTGGCTCACGTCTGTAATCCCAGCATTTTGGGATTACAGGCGTGAGTCACTGCACCCATGCGGGCAAATCACAAGGTTAGGAGTTCAAGACCAGCCTGGCCAATGTGGTGAAACCCTGCCTCTATTAAAAATCCAAAAAATTAGCCTGGTGTGGTGGCGGGTACCTGTACTCCCAGCAACTCGGGAGGCTGAGGCAGGAGAATCACTTCAACCTGGGAGGCGGAGGCTGCAGTGAGCTGAGACCGAGCCACTCACTCCAGCCTGGTGACACAGTGAGACTGCAACTCAAAAACAAAAAAAACAGATGGCCCCAGCCAGGGCTGTGCCAGGGTCAGTCCAGCCTTGCTAGCTTAGCCCAGTGTCCCATGGGCAGGGCCAGAGAGGGTGAGGGCTCCGGTCAGGAGCTGAGAGCCCTGGGAATTCTGCGCCCAAATGTCTCTGGACCCCTCTCCAGGCTCCTGCTGGAGACCTTCGGAAGGTGATGGGAAGAGCTTGCGGAGAAGCCAGCAGACCTGCCTGTTGGACTCTGCTCTGTCCCTTGCTCTGTGGCCCTGGGCAGGTCCCTCCCCTCTCTGGGCCTCCGTTTCCTCATCTGTAAGACGGAGGTGAGAACAGTGCTGCCTGGCAGCCTCACAGGCTGCTCCGCTGCAAGGCCCCGGTGAAAAGACCTTGCAAGTCTCTGCCCAGCAACCCGCCCTGCCTTCCTCTGCCACCAGACCTCTCCTCGCCAATGTCTTGGGCTGGCTCAGAGTCAAGCCCTGAGCAGGTTCGCCATCTCGCCCTTTACCAGGTGCGTCTTCCTTGTGTCTCTCCTGTCAGTGGCACCACAGAACCAGACCCTACACTTTGGCCTTCCTCACCTAGCCACCCTCGCTATTTATCAGTCTGTGGCTCCCCAGTGCCCCAGGAGAAACGGAAGCTCTTTACCACAGTGGCTGTGGCCTTGCCATGCTCAGCAGTTCCGGCTCCCGCACTGCCCAGCCTCACCTGGACTCTGGGATGCGGTGCAGGTGGGCGTCTGCTGATTGCCCACACCGGTACTTTTACCTGGAAGTTTAGCTTGAAAGCCCTTTCCTCCACCCCTACCAGGTCCTTCCCAGGCTACTTCGGACCCTGATGCCAACAAGAGCAGTTCCCAGGCAAGGGCGGGGCAAGAGCTTTATGCGCAACTCTGTGCTCTATTCTCCCACCAACCCCCGCCACTGGGCCTCTCCCTTCCCTGTGTCCTGGGGCCTGGCCTGGCGCGCACACAGGAGGTGCCTATGGAATACAGGTGGAAGGGATTAGCAGGCCGGAGACAGGAGGGAGAGGCTGGAGTTAGCCCCCTTTACACACAAGGAAGCAAGACCTCAAAGCAGCAGGGCCTTCTGGAAGGCGACGGGCAGCCGTCCCCGGAGGTGGACACCCCTTACCGGATGGCCTCAATCCACTGGTCGCGCTCCTCGGCACTGGCGGCTGAGATGCGGTAGGACTCGTGTTTGCCTTCCACCACCCTGCCGTCGCCGTCAGTCTTGCAGGCCTTGATTTTCTGGCCTCGGCAGCTGGGGTTGTAGAGCTCAAGGCAGAACTGGGGAGGTGGCCAGGCGGGGTGGGGTGAGAGGGAGGCTGGGGGGGCTCTCCAGGAGGCTCAGAGACGCCCAGACGCTGGTGTCCCTGCCCCACGCGGCAGCCCCACCCCATGACAGGCGAAGGGGCAGGAACTGCTCCCCCCACACTGTGCACGCTCTCTGTGCCAGGCTCCTTAATCCACCATCCTCCCTGAAGTCCCCATGTGACACATGGGCTAGCTGAGGTTCTGAGCAGAGCAGGGCTTCCTCAGGGTCATCCAGCCAGTCGGGGTCTATGGGACAACTGAGGACAACCACGCCCTTGGACCGACATTGACCTTTTCCCACTGTCCATGGCTCCAGGAGGCAGAGAAGGGCAGCCCTGAGCTCCATGGAAGGTGGAAGGGGCACAACCTCAGGCCCTCTCCCCACACCCAGTTTAGGAGATTCTCCAGTGGCTTCAGCCTTGGGGACCCCCCACCTGGACACCTACTGGCTTCTTGGGGTCGTCCACCTTCTGCACGGAGAGGTTCTCAAGGGGTATGATTCCCCGTGGCTCCTTGTCCTACAGGGAGAGGGGAAGGAAAGTCAGAGTCAGGGTCAGGAAGCAGACCTTGAGGCCCAAGTCTGGGCGTAAACGTGTGGGGTTCCCCAAACCCAAAGAAGAGCATGCTCATCTTCCAAGACTGTCCAGCCAGGGGGGTGGAAGGTAGGAGCGGCATGTGAAGAACTCTGGCCAGAAGTTAGGAGGCTCAGCTTTGAGCCTGGGCTCTGCCTACAACCTTGGCCCGGCCTCTCCCCTTTGTACCTCAGTTTTTCCCATCTGTAAAATGGGCATGGATGGGAACCGAATGATCTCAAACGATCCAAAGCTGTGTTATTCGTCTGCTCAGTGGGAGTTGGGAAGGGGGTTGTGCGGGGAGAGGCGGGGGCGGGGAAGGCCCAGGGGACCCTGCTCACCGTGGTGAACTCGAAGTAGTAGAGGCAGTTGTCGGTCAGGATGAACCAGCGCCGTTTCCACGTCTTCACGCGGCCCCCTGTGGGAGGCCAGTGCAGCAAGCAGATCAGTCCTCCTGGGCCAGGGACACAGAGGCTCTCCCCTGGACCCCCAGCTGAGTGCCCTGACCCTCATCCGCCACCCCTCCCCCACCACCCCTCCCCCCACATCTATCCGTTTCTCAAACAAGAACCGTAGTGGCTCCCGTCACCCCCGGGGCTTCCCTGGAGCTGCTTGAGCTGGTGCTCAGGTCACCTCTGCGATCAGGTCCTAGGTATGGTCCTAGGAATGGCCACCCCCTGCTCTCTCTGGTTATCATCACCGATTGCTTCATTCCTTAGCCTGCTCCCTGCCTGGCACTGTGCTGAGCAATTCATCCTTCACTTGCCAGACACTGTGCTAGAGGTTTTCAAAAATATTATTCATCTTCATAACCACATATGAGGAGGGGACCATCGTGAACCCCATTTTACAGATGGGGAAACTGAGTCATGGAGAGGTTAAAATCCTCTGCCCGTGGTCCAGCAGCAGAGCTGGGATTCGAACCCCGGTGTCCTAGTTCTGGAGCCCAACTCTTGGCCATTTTGCTGCACATTTAACCCTCCCAGGGATCATTATCCCCATCTTACGCTACAGAGGCTGAAACCCTGACCATCAGCACTTGGGTGGAGGAGCTGGGGTTTAAGGGCTGTGTGACTCTGAGGCCCCCTCTCCCATCCAAGTTGGGATTTGTGACTTAGAGCTTCTCAGGGGTGGACAACGGTACGTGGCTGGGGCAGGACAGGAGGCTGAGCCTCTGGAGGAGGATGGACTGGGGTGTGGTGTGGAGAGTCGGAGGGCTTGGGGGCTCCAGGGGCATTGGGCAGGACTGGCACGGGCTGGGTGGACAGGAGGTGCTGGAGCTCAGTGTTGCTGGAGGCGAGCCAGGCTGAGACCCCTGCTTCAAGATGAGGCATCTGTCCCCGCTGGCCCCGCCTGGGCTGTCCCTGCTGGAGAGGCTTCCGGGAGTGTGTGTGGGAGGCAGGGGCAGATGGCTGGGCACTGGGGTTCCCCGGCTGGACTGCAGCCACCCACCCCAGCTGCTCCCTGCAGGGTGCAGGCCCTCCCTGCCTCCAGTCAGCTTGAAGGCAGCTTCCCCTAAACCACTTCCTGTCACCCTTCCTCCCCTCCTTTAGGGACACCTAACCCTCTGCTCCGTCAAATCTGCCCCTGGCTGGCTGTGTGGCCTCAGGCAGATCCCTGACTTCACTGTTGGGCTGTGGGCAGGACAGCACCTTGCCTGAGCTCAGTGGGCTCGGAACCAATGGTAATCCTCATAACCACATATGAAGAGGGGCCACTGTGAACCCCATTCCTCCGAGGAGAGAGAAACAGAACCACCGCTGAAGCGTTTGTCAATGAATCTGTCTGCCTCCCGCCCCGCTTACAGCTCAGCCCCCCTCCTCTGGCCCCTTCATTCTCAGGACACACGGATGGATGGGGGAGGTAGACAACTGCCCCGGGGGCAGGAGACCTGGGGCTGTCCAACTCCCTCTCCCAGGCTGCATGCAAGCCTCGTGTCAGCCCTGTGCCTGTGTGCGCATGAGGCGACGTATGCCTGTGTGTGCATGAGTGTGCATATGACGTGTGCCCGCGTGTGCATGAGTGTGCATATGATGTGTGCCCGCGTGTGCATGAGTGTGCATATGACGTGTGCCCGCGCGTGCATGAGTGCCTGCAATGACATGTGCCCGCATGTGTGTGAGTGTACATATGACGTGTGCCCGCGCATGCGTGAGTGTACATGTGACGACGTGCGTCTGTCGGCCTCTTACCCAGCTTGAGCAGCCAGCCCTCCCGGTCTGGGTTGAAGAAGGTGTGAGTGAGGTCATTGCCGTCGTCCTCGGGAATGGAGAAGGGCTCGCTCTTGATGCTGTCGAAGAGGTTCTGCCCCAAGAGAAGGGAGGGAAAGACCTGGTTGTGAGTCCACCCGCGTCCAAGGCCTGGGCCTGGCCTGGCCTGGCCTGTGTGGCCTTGAGCAGGTCGCTCACTGGCAGGCGCACTCTTTCCTCACCTGTTAGCTTCTCATGGTCCCTGGTTCCCTCCCTTGAGCCTGGGCCTGGCTCTGCCACCCGCCACCCCCGTCCTGCTTCCCTCTGTGCTACTGTAGGGCAGAGGGAGCAGGGGTCAGCCCCTCAAACACACACATATACCAACATGCATGCTCACACACACACATGCACACATTCACACATACATGCACACTTATATACCTGCACACTAACACACATGCATGCACTCACATGTGTACATACTTACACACATACTCACACATGCATGCACACTCATACACATGCACACATATACATGCACTCATACATGCACATGCATGCATGCTCACACCTACACACATGCATGCGCAAACATGTACACATGCATGCACTCACGCATATATGCACATACATGTTCACACACATACATGAACACAGGCACACATATACATGCACTAACACATACATGCACACATGCATGCTCACACCTATAGTCACACACATGCATGCTCACACATATTACTTACACATGCACACACACTCACATATATGCACACATGGTCACACACATGCTTGTGCACACACATGCACACTCACACACATGCACACTTATATACATGCGGGATCACATATACATGTACACACATGCCTTCATGCTCACACAAATACATGCACTTATACATGCACCCTCACACATGCATGCTTACACACATACATGCACTCATACGTAATGCAAATACAATATACATGCATATGTTTATATGCATGCTCACACACACATGCATGCTTACAGACACAGACACACAAATACACACATATTCTCTGTCTCTGGGACATAGCACCCTTGGCAAAGGTTATGGGAGGAGGGTCCTCTCCTGCTTAGGTGCAGCAGCAGAGACTACAAGGTACACCTTGGATTGAGGGGCCCCAGGGAGGAGGACTGGCCACTTTGTGTTGAGGGGCCCAGCTGAGGGAGAGCCCAGGGTGGGACACTGGCTGCGACTCTCAAAAGCCCCTCTCCTAAACAGGCCTGTTCTGGATGGGTCGGGGTGGGGCCTGGGGAGCTCCCAAAAAGCAGACTGCAGTTCTCCACGGAAGCCTTTCTGGCAGTAAGAGCTGGTGAAATGTGGGAGAGCAGCTTTGTAGGGTGATGAGCTCTTTGTCCCTGGAGGTAAGTAAGCCAGGTCTGGAAGTTCCCTGTGGGCAAGGTGTGGCCACTGGCGCCAGATCACCCCTGTGTGCTTTGAATCTCCTGCCATGAGACATTGTGTTCTGTGAGCAACCTGCCAAGATTTCCAAGTGTTTGGAGAACCATTCTAAACTGTGTATATTTCTGCTTACTAAAGGCAAACGCAGTGCTGTCTCCGCGGACGAAATCATTTCCTTTCGCTGTGTATGTGTGTGCTGCTTGCTGCTCAGATGTGTTTCTGCTCAGATGCTTTCTTCGAGATTTTAAATGAAAATTCTCATGAGTTTGATTCTCTCAAAGTTTTAGAAATGGGGCTGTCTGGTTCTTTAAGATCCTTTCTGACCTCAAGAACTCAGGGGCCCAGAGTCAGGGGTGGGTGGCTTCCCTGGTCTCAGTCTGGCTGTGGGGCTGTGGGGGTGAGGAAGAGCAGGCCCCAGTTTCTCTCTGGGGAGCCCCTACACGCATCCCTGGGAATTCCCAGTTGGCACTGGCTGGCTGAACAAGGGCCTGGAGCAGGAAGGCCCCATCAACAAAGCTGTCAGCACAGACAAATATTTGGAAGGCCCCAGGAGCTGTGCAGGGGGAGTGGACAGGGGGTCTCAACTGCCACAAAACCCACGGAGGAGTGGTGGGGGGAGGACCCAGCAGCTTCTGCGGTCACTGTATCAGCCTGTACCTTCTGCCCCCGCAAAGAAAACGGCTGAGTTCACCCACATTTCCTGTCCCCTGTAAACACCAGCCTCCCCTGCAAGAAAACGCCCTGCACCACTGCCACCAAACCCCGGGACCCAGCTGTCTTCTCCTGGTGGGGTGGACGGGCAGAAATGCAAGGGCCTCCTCCTTCCAGTGGCCCCGCTGGCTCTGTGTCCCTCCGTCCCCACACCCTCAGTTTTTCTCTGGGGAGTCTGCTCCTCTGTGTTCTGTCCAGATCACTCAGCAGGGTTGGCACCCACAGGTCCCCAGCCCCAGGCTCCAGGAAGGGGTGAATGACTCACATCTGGCTGATCAGCGCATTTCATCTTGCTAACCGCAGTGCAGGGAGGGCCAGGAGGCCCAAGTCAGCCAATAAGCCTTAATCCTGGGACTTCAGCTGAAACTGCTGAGGAGGCACTGTGAGAGCTCGGGAAGCCAGGGCATCTCTGCCATACCTGGGCAGAGCTTGTTTAGGAGAGAAACCAGGCTGGGCATGGTGGCTCATGCTTGTAATCCCAGCACTTTGGAAGGCTGAAGCTAGCAGATCACCTGAGGTCGGGAATTGGAGATCAGCCTGACCAACATGCAGAAACCCCTGTCTACTAAAAATACACACACAAAATTAGCCGGGCGTGGTGGTGGATGCCTGTAATCTCAGCTACACAAGGGGCTGAGGCAGGACAATCGCTTGAACCCAGGAGGCAGAGGTTGCAGTGAGCAGAGATCGTGCCGCTGCACATTCCAGCCTGGGCAACAGAACAAGACCCTGCTTCAAAAAAAGGAAAAAAGAGAAGAGAAAAGCAAAGGTATAAAGCCAGCGTCATCAGCCCACTTTGCAGAGGAGGAAGCTGGGGCTCATGTCCAAGGTCACACAGATATAAGGGCAGAGCTGGGGTCTGACCTCCCATCCCTGTGAGTCGGACACTGCACCTTCGCCCTGAGCCTCTTGTGGACTCTGCCCCTGACCCATCTGGACGCCTAGAGCAAGATCGGCTCAACCCTCCTGTCCCTGACTGCCACCGTGTACCTCCCCACAGCCTTTCCCAGCCAGGCATCTTCGAGGTCTGTGTACCCTTGGGGTGACCTCTCTTTGGGTCATATGTCTGTAAATGTCATTTTGAAAATTGGGCCACTTAAAAGCATTACATGTCCTCCTCGCTTAACAGGTCCAAATTGGAGAATCTTTCTGCCAAGTGGTGACCTTTGACAATCGGAAGGTGCTTAAAGCTGAATCCCTGCTTTACATACGAGGAAAATGAGGCCCAGGCAGGAGGCGAGAGGATCCCCAAATCCACACGCTGCCTGTGTGTTTCTTTGTTCTTTTTGAGATGGAGTCTTGATCTATCGCCAGGCTGGAGTGCAGTGGCGCGATCTCAGCCCACGGCAAGGTCTGCCTACCAGATTCAAGCGATTCCCCTGCCTCAGCCTCCCGAGTAGCTGGGACTACAGGCGCGCATCACCACGCCTGGCTAAGTTTTTGTATTTTAGTAGAGACGGAGTTTCACCACGTTGACCAGGATGTTCTCAAACTCCCGACCTCGTGATCTGCCCGCTTTGGCCTCCCAAAGTGCTGGGATTACAGGCATGAGCCACTATGTCCGGCCTGTGTGTTCCTTTTTGACATGGGAAGCTTCAGGATTGATTAGCCCCCTCAACCACACCAGCACTTGGCTGACTGCCACACGTCTACACTAATCCTATGAACTGGAACTCGGAGAGGTCAAGCCACTTTCCTAAGGTCACACAACCAGAAAGTGGGGTAGCTGGGAGGGATGGGGTTTGACTCTGGCGCTCTGTTCTGGGCTGCCAAAGAGGATAATAAGGCCTTCCTAGACCTCCCGGGCAGATTTTGAAGCTAAATTGAGATAATAGACCCCAAAGCCTGGTGAGAAGAAACTTACAAGTTCCATACAAATGTGGTGCATTGTTATTAACAAAAGGCTTGAATTGGGAAAAAGAGCTAAGGAGGCAGATGCAGGAGAGGGCTCACTGGGAGCTGGAGGTAATAACGGAGCTCCTGGGGGAGCGGCAGGACCAGTGCTGGGAGGTAATTAACTCATTCCCTGCCAGACAACTCATGCCTGCCTTACGCCATGAGGACCCCACAAGAAATGAGTCACCAATGCTCAAATGCCTTTTATGTTTCAGGCATTTTACTAGGCGCTGGGTTTTTTTATCATTATTAATTATTTTTAATAGTGACGTAAGCCACAAGGCCCTACTTTAGCTGGGGAGCCGAGCAGGAGACAGGTATTATGTACCTGGCACGGGCTCTGCCAGTAACATTTAAAACAGTTGCTCCCCGTGGTGGCAGATCTGGGACACAGGTATTATTATTCCTGCTCTCCTGGCAGAGGGGACAGTGGCTTCAACTCCAGTGAGTCATTACCCAAGGTCACCTAGCAGGCAGACGGGGAAGACAGAAGCAGACCTGAGCTCTAACTAGCTCAAAACCTCATGCTACATACTGGCTCCTCTGTGATGCACTTTCTTTTCTTGGGACCGGGCAAGGAGTGGGTTAAGGGTGAGGCAGTTCTCAAACACCGAGGGGCACCAGAATCACTGCAGATCCAGGCTCCACCCCAACCTTGGAGGTAGGAGGTATAGTTGGTGCTGAGCTGGGACGGTGATGTTTGCACCCCCCTCCTCCTTGCCGGGCTCTGACCACGGAGGGGATTGAAGCTCATGGGGCTCTGGGGCGTCTCCAATTCTTGAAGTGAACTTGTCCATTCATTTTTCCCAAGCCAGGCTCTCAATCTCTCCCTCCTGTTCTTATGAATTCCCCCTGGCTCCCTGTGGCCCATAGGAAACAGGCAAACTCCTGAGGCTGCCATTTGAAGCCCTGGACCCTCTGGCCCCACCCTGCCACCCACTACTGTCCACATATGCCACACCTTGGCCACACAAGACACCTCTCCTTTCCCAACCAGGACACACCTCGGTTATGGCCACTTCTTCTTTATGAAATGTCCTTTCCCCACTTCTCTTGGAACACTCCCATGTAACCTTCAAGGCCCAGTTCAGAAGTCACCTCCTCTGGGGAGTCTTCCAGGATGGCACCCTCCCCCTGCCTCCAGAGCAAGACAGCCGCAGAGACGGCAGATCTGTGTCTCCAGAGCTCCATCCCCACAGTCAGGACGGCTTGTAATTCACATGTATATGGCCCTCCCACCAGACCCCAAACTTGGTCAGGGCAGCATATATGGTTAATTGATTCATCCCTGGGGCCCTGTGCAGGGTGCAGAGGCTGGTGTGGTGTGGCGGGGTGCAGGCTATTTGAGGGAGAGGCCAGAGGCTTGGCTGCTGCCTGGCTCCCCAGCTCAAGTGTTTCAGGCCTCTGAAGACCTCAGTTTCCTCCTCTCTAAAGGATAGAGGGTTTAGAGCAGTCCGAGGGTTTTCAGGCCTGACACGCTGAGAGTCTAAGAATCTCCATTCTCAGAAATAGACCTGGGTGTGTGAGGTACGCTTTTGGGAAGATGTGAATGACGGCTGCCCAGAGTCCCCCAAAGGCTTAAGTCTGGGTGGACCTCCTGGGTGGTCCATCTCGGACATCCTCCTCAAGATGGGGCCTCTCTTGGACAGGCGGGTTTCAGGACCAACCCGCTTTGTGACGGTGCCTCTCAAGACAGTCACAGTCTGGGTGGGCCGTATCAGCCGAGTCCCCACTGGGGGCTGTCTATCTCCGAGAAGCCCCTCCCCGGCCATCCCTCTAAGGACGGGCCCTCCTGGGTGCCCGGGCGGGGCTGGGTGAGCAGTGCCTCTCACCCGCAGCTGGTCCTCCGGCAGGTCGCTGCCATTGTTGATGCCACGGTTCATGGACACAAAGCGCTCGAAAGGCGGCTTGTCCCGGACGTTGGGGTTGTGGAGGCTGGTGTTGAGCATGATGATGGAGAAGGACAGCACGTAGCAGGTGTCTGCGGAGGGGACAGTGGTCACAGTCCTGGCCCTGGCCACTCTGCCTGCCTCTGCCCTGGTCCCCTCTAGGGCCCAGAATCTGCTGTCGCAAAGCCCTGAGGGTCCACCTTGTCCTCCTGGCTTGACCTTTGAGGCCCAGCCTCCCCACCCCTCCCACTCTTGCTGGTCCCCACCCCCCTTAAAGGAACGGCAGTCTCTCTTTCTGAGCCCCTTCCCACCCGGAGCTGTGGCTCCTGCTGGGCCCCCTGCCAGGCCCGCCGTCCCTTCCCTCCGCTTCAACCCTCCTCGCTCAGCCACGGCACCAGCCCTCCTGTTCGCGGGGCCCTTCCAGCCCCCTGCCCACTCTGTTCTCTGCCTCTCAGAACTCGGGGAATGCTTTGTTGGCAGCACTGTTCAGGGCTGAGCCATGTGCTGCTCTGCAATCTGGCAGGCACTGCGGGGCTCCTGAGCCCCAGCGCTGCTCCCATTATTCAGACTTTCACGTGCTCAGGAGGGAGGCTGGGCTGACGGCTGGGGAGGGAGGGGGTTGCCACCGTGGGGTCTTTTGTGGTAATTGGCCCTGATTTCAGCTGCATCTCCCACTGTCTGATTGACCTTGGGAGGTACCTGACCTCCCTGACCTTCAGCTTCCCCATCCTTGACGTTCGGAGACTTATCTTGGAAGTAGCTGCCTGTTTGAGAACATCGATGATTCTACCTCTGACAGCAGTGGCACCGAGCGTGGCTGATGCCTGCCCTGTGCTAAGCTCTCACACCCCATGCCCATCCTCTGAGGCAGGTCCTGTTATCACTCCCATTCTACAGATGAGGAAACCGAGGCGCAGGAGGTTAAGCTACATATGCCCAACATCATAAAATTAAGAAGTAATTGGACAATGATTCAAATCTGGTCTTCAAGATGCCTTCTTTCCTACCAGAACTATGTATTGAGTGCAAACGCTGTGCTGTGGGCCTCGGAGTTATTGATGATCGGTCTGATAGGGTCCCTGCCCTTACAGGACGTTTAGACTTGTGACAGATAATAAACAAGCAAGCACCAAATTAAGATCTAACTTCAGAGTAGAGCCACTGCTCTGGAGGGCTTGTCCGTGGACCGCCAGGAGGCGGTGTGCTTCAGGACAGGTCATTTCTTTTCTTTCTCATTTATTTATTTATTTATTTATTTTTACGAGCTGGAGTCTCACTCTGTCACCCAGGCTGGAGTGCAGTGGCACGATCTCAGCTCACTGTAACCTCTGCCTCCTGGGTTCAAGCCTCAGCCTCCTGTCTCAGCCTCCTGAGTAACTGGGATTACGGGTGTGTGCCACCACACCTGGCTAATGTTTGTATTTTTTGTAGAGACAGGGTTTCAACATGTCGGTCAGGCTAGTCTTGAACTACTGACCTCGTGATCTGCCCACCTTGGCCTCCCAAAGTGTTGGGATTACAGGCGTGAGCCACCGCGCCTGGCCGACAAGTCATTCCATCTCTCTGAAGCTATATCCCATGCACCAGGGAGGGATGAGGAGACTACTGACCTCAAACAGTTGAGGTAAGGATTGAGTGACTTTGGCCGGGCATGGTGGCTCACGCCTGTAATCCCAGCACTTTGGGAGGCCGAGGCGGGTGGATCACCTGAGGTCAGGAGTTCAAGACCAGCCTGACCAACACGGCGAAACCCTGCCTTTACTAAAAATACAAAATATTTAGCCAGGCACGGTGGCGGGCGCCTATAATCCCAGCTACTTGGGAAGCTGAGGCAGGAGAATTGCATGAACCCGGGAGGTAGAGGTTGCAGTGAGCTGAGATCATGCCATTGTACTCCAGCCTGGGCAAGAGAGAGACACTCTGTCTGAAAAAAAAAAAAAAAAAAAAAGTGCATGGGGATTACTCTGCATACAGGGTTGGTTATTGATATAATAACTAGAGCCAGAGAAGAGGCCAGGATAAGTTGGCTATGCTGGTTCCTCACCACCCTGTCTTCTGGATGTCTTCACATGGGCATTGTGTTAGCCCTGGGAGAGAGGGGTATGGAGGACTGACCTTTGTGGATCTCCTTCTAGGCCCCTTTTGCCCCCTACACGCTGCCCAGGCCGTTTCATGCTTCAAGGCCTTTGTTCCAACTGCAACTCCTGCCAAAAAGGCCCTTTCTCTCCTTAACCTCCTGGAAAACTCCTATTCATCCTTCAAAACCCTATTCTGGACTCACTGCCTCTGAAAAGCCATCTTGGACATGCTGATTCCCCTACGCCTGCCCTCAGACAGGAGTGCTGCTCCCTTAGCCTTAGCATCCTGTGCCATCATCTCCTGCCTCCTCTCCTAAGAACTGTGTCTCAAGGCAGCTCTCTCAGACAAGCACCCAGCAGCAATGGAGTTGGTGCTCAGTGAGGGTACCGAAGAGGTCTAGGCTTCCAGGGTCTGGGTGCTCAGGGGAAGCCTGAGGGGGTCTGTGGAATCTATGCCTGGCAGTGCTGAAGGGGTCCCAGAGCCCAGGGTCCCACTCCCCTCCTGGCACCTGTGGACTGGAAGACGTCCGGGTTGCAGAGGCAGTATCGAGTAGCAAAGGCCTCCATCATCCGGTCTATCTTCTGGGCCTCGCCCGGCAGCCGGAAGCTCCACAGAAACTGCCTAGGGGAGAAATGGGGCCATGGGCGGCGAGTGGGTGCGGGTCTCTCAGGGGCCCCAGGCCAGCTGCCCCGACTCTCCCAGGCTTATTCTCTGGATCCTGTAAATGGGAGGATCTGCATCTGTCACCTGGACTCACCGGGAAGTGGGACTGGCACCAGGGAGTCCCAAGCACTCGGGAGGTAGCCAATAAAAGCCTTTTCTTACAGAACACAGAACGGAGCATATGCCCTGTTCTGTACATCGGAATCCCAGCGCTGGCTGCAGCCCGGCCTGCCTGCCCGGGTTCTGTGGCTCCCTGCACCTGGCCTTTGGGCTCCGGGATCTGGCGGTGGGACCCAGTCGAGGAGGGGGTGGGGCGGGGGTTTCCCCTTGCTAGGCCTCCCTTTCTTGGAACCTCAACTTCCCTCTAGCTCTGGAAGTTGGCGGTTTCCACAGCTTCAAGCTCAGTTTTCTGAGGGTGAGAACTGTGCCTGCGTCTCTCACTTCTCCTCCTGGGCTTCACACAATCCTGGGCACCTAGCAATGGCTCAGTAAATATGTAAATGAATGAATGAATATGTGAATGAATGAATGAATGAATGAATGAAGATGGGAGACTCCCAAGTCACCTACCCCTCTCCCTTAAAGAGCTGGGAGTCAGAGAGCACTAGATGGTAGTGGCTTCTTTCTTCTCTGTATTGTAAACTCCTACTCACCCTCCAAAGCCCAGATCAGATGACCCTTCTTGGAATATGAGTTTCTGAACAGCAACAAGACTTACTAAGCACTTACTGTGGACCAGTTCTAAACACTTTCTCATTTAATCTTCACAATCCTATGAAGTTGACACTATTATTATCCCCATTCTATGGATGAGGAAACTGAGGCACAGGGAGGTTTATTTTTTTGTGAGACAGAGTCTTACTCTGTTGCCCAGACTACAGTGCAGTGGTATGATCTTGGCTCACTGCAACCTCCACCTCCTGGGTTCAGACGATTCTCCTGTCTCAGTCTTCAGAGTAGCTGGGATTACAGCCACCGCCCCCGGCTGATTTTTGTATTTTGTGCATGTGTGTGGCTTTCTCAAGGTCACACGGCGGGGAGTAGCAAAGCTGAGATTTGAACTGTGTCGTTTGACTCCAGAGTTTGTGCTTCAAGCTGATGATTGTACTTCCTCTGTAGCTGTAAAAATGAGTAGCAACGGCCGGGCGCGGCGGCTCACACCTGTAATCCCAGCACTCTGCCAGGCCAAAGTGGGCAGTTCAGGAGGTCAAGAGATCGAGACCATCCTGGCCAATGTGGTGAAACCCCATCTCTACTAAAAATACAAAAATTAGCTGGGCGTGGTGGTGCGCGCCTGTAGTCCCAGCTACATGGGAGACTGAGGCAGGAGAATCGCTTGAACCCAGAAGGCGGAGGTTGCAACGAGCCAAGATCACACTACTGCACTCTAGCCTGGTGACGGAACGGGACTCTGTCTCAACAACAATAAAAAAAATGGGTAGCAGCAGTACCCCAATTAGGAACTAATAAGTAATAAGAGTAATAAATGGAATACATACTAAGTAGTCTTATGAAATAAACTAAACATGCACTAGGCCAAGCGCAGTGCCTCACGCCTGTAATCCCAGCTCTTCGGGAGGCCAAGGTGGGTAGATCACAAAGTCAGGAGTTCAAGACCAGCCTGGCCAACATGGCAAAACCCTGTAATCCAGCTACTTGGGAGGCTGAGGCAGAAGAATCGCTAGAACCCGGGAGGCGGAAGTTGCGGTGAGCTGAGATCATGCCATTGCACTCCGGCCTGGTGACAGAGTGAGACTTGGTCTCAAAAACTAAAATAAAATAAAAAACAAAAAACAAAAAAACATGCACTAATCCAAAAAGTAGAATGACAGTAATAGAGTAGTAAGGATTAGAATAATGAGATCCGGTGTGACAGGGCCCCAGCATAGTAAGAAGGCAGTATTTGCAGGGCACTAGGTCCTTTCACAGGCGGTCCACCTCGGCTCTGTGACACAGCGCCATCATGAACTCACTTTTGTCCTTTGCCTCCTCCTCTTTGCTCCCGACCCTTTGTTTGTGCTGTTAGCTGTGTGGATTGTGACGCCCCCAGCCACTGGGGCTGTGCCACCCTTGAGGGCCGGGACCCCGCCCCTGGACCACTCACCTGAGGGCCTGGACGAGGTTGAGGTTGGCGAACTCATGGCAGTCCACAAAGGCCTGGAGGACCTGCAGGTTGACAGGGTCCCTAGGGAGGGCCGGAAGGGAGGGTGTGACACACTTGGGTACTTGCTGGCACCCACCTCCTGGACGGGATTAGGTGGGGGAGGGAGAGCAGAGAGACATCTGTCCCTCTGGGGTGCAGCTGCCATCCGGTGCCTTCATGCCTGTCCCACCCATATCACACCCGGAGGACACACCCTTCCTCCCACGAAGGCACACACCTTCACGGCTCACCAGCGCTGGCTGGCCCGGGAGGGGAGCCCTGGCTCTGCAGTGGCCCGGCCTCAGTCCAGGCCCGCCTCATTTCCTGTAACTTCCCAACTGGTGACCTTGCTGAAGCCACTTGACCTCCCCAGCCCCAGCTTCCTCATCTAAGGAGACAGGGGAGGGAGAGAAGCCAGCCTCCCCTGTATCCTCCCTCTCCCCAGCTCCTGGAGCAGGAGGGTGACCTTCTCGCCATCTCCATCCCTGCTCTCTCTGGGAGGGAGGTGTCCTCGGGAGCTGGGGAGAGTGCTGTTGACTCCCTGGTCCAGCTTCACCCCTATCCCCTGGCCCACCCCACAGACCAGCCCAGTCCTTTGCCCAGAGCCCTCCCACAGATCCCCACATCCTCCCTCTCTCCTCCCATCCAGTCTAGATTCTTGAGCCTGTTTCTGCCCCAGGGCCTTTGCACTTGCACCTCCTGGCCTGCTCCTCCCCAAGATGTCTGCACTGCTCGCTCCCTTACCTCCTTTACGTTTTGGTCAAACGTCACCTTCTCCGTGAGACCCTTTCTGTCCACACTACTCTAAATCACAGCCCCCAGCCTATGGCCTCCAGCCTCCCCCCCTTCTTTCCTCTGTCCCTCTTTCTCTCCTCCCTCCCTCCCTCCCCATCCCTCCCTCTTTCCTTTCTTTCTCTCTCTCGCTCTCTCTCTCTTTCTTTCAATGGAGTCTCACTCTACCGCCCAGGCTGGAGTGCAGTGGTGCAATCTTGCCTCATTGCAACCTCCACCTTCTGGGTTCAAGCGATTCTCCAGCCTCAGCCTCCCGAGTAGCTGGGACTACAGGCGCGTGCCACCTGTAATGTAATGAGACTAGCTAATTTTTGTATTTTTAGTAGAGACGGGGTTTCATCATGTTGGCCTGACTGGTTTGAACCTCTGACCCCAAGTGATTCACCTGCCTTGGTCTCCCAAAGTGCTGGGATTACAGGCATGAGCCACCACGCCTGGCTGGTCCCCAGCATTTCTGACTTCCCTTCCCTGCTCGATTTGTATTCCATAGAGCTTAATTTCTAAGATATTTTGCATATACTGAGAACTGTCTCTCCTTTTAAAAGTGTGCACCTCCTGAGGACGAGAGCTTTGTCTGTCTTATTCACCGGTGTCCGCCCAGGGCTTAGGGTGGTGCCTGGAACACAGCAGACCCTAGGCGGCCTTTATTTGTTGAATAAATGACCAAATGAATGAAGGCAGTCAGGTTTTGACTCAGAATCTGGAGGGGATGATCCGTGAGCCTCTCAAGCCCTAGAGGCGATGCCTTTCCTAACATAACCCATTCTCTCCCCTGCACATCACACACCTGTGCACACTTGCACACCTTCATTTCCTGCCTCCCTAAAGCTCCACGCCTTCTTACCTCTCCCCCAAGTAGGTCCCGATGGCGGTCTTGTTGAGGCCCTCGCCTTTATACAGGAACCGAGCGATGTCCTGGATGTCGGGCGTCAGCAGCTTATGCTCAATGAAATACCGGATGCCCTGGAGGGGTAGGCAGAACCCGTTAGCAGCTGCTGCACAGAAGCAGGCCTGGAAGGGGGAAGGGAGGAACAACCTCCTGTGGCCAGAGTCCTGGGGCTTGGCTTTCTGATGTTGGCACAGTCTGTTCTAGAAGTTGTTCCCCCTCCTTCACAGGAGCTGCCTTTGTGAGGTGGTGAGTTCCCCATCACTGGGGGCGTGCAAGAAAGTCAGCCTTCCTGCCGGGAACCAGGTTCAAGCTAGGTACTCCCCAGGGTCCCCTCCAGTCTGACATTCTTTGATTGTATGCTTCAATGATTCTAGGAATTTGTAATTCTAAGATTCAATGATTCAGCCATTTCTTTTGTTCCCCTAAAACTCATATTATTTAAAAATAGTGTTTCATTCTTTCACACAAGTCATCTATGTCAATTGTATAAAAGTTAGAAAAAAAACAGCTCAATTGAAAGGGGAGGAAACTGCCCGGGCCCTACCGCTGGGAGGTAGACAGCTTCCATTGTGGTGACCCTCCTTCCCTTTCTGCATGAAAATGTGACAGGACTGCACCTGTCACGTTTAAAGCTGCTTTTCGGATTTGACAATATCACAAACATCTCTCCTCACCACCCAGGCGCTCAGGGCTTGTCATCCTAGTTTTAGGAGTTGGAGGGGTTGGTCTCTGCTTCTACTGGAAGATTCCTCTGTATTCCACTGCTGGAAGGTAGGCACAGGCCATGAGGGCCGAGTGACAGGCAGAGGGTGCAGAGGACACCCTGGGTGCTCGGTGAGTGTGTGGGCCTGTGGGGGTCCCTGTGGATGGGAGCAGGAGTCCAAGGGTCCGTGGCTGTGAGAGGTGAACGGGCCTGTGATGAGGACAAGCGCCTCCTAAGCCAGAGCAGTAAATTTCCAGGGACCCCAGCTTGGCACTCTCTGCTGGCTGCCCTGACCCCCCTTCGGTGTGTCTGCCTGTGGCTTCCTTCTGTCTCCATCCTTTCAGGAAAGGATGCCCAGCTGCCACCTGGTGGGGTGAGGGGTGGGGCTGGCGTTGCTCTGAGGCCGGGGGGTTTGGGAGTGCTGTGGGGGAGCGAGGTAGCCTGGCCCTGAGTGCTGACCCTGCCAGCAGAGGGGTGGGTGGCAGGACCACAGGACTGACTCTCCCCCAGCCCAGGGCTGGAAGATGCTTCTGGAGCCTGAGCCCCGGATCCCAGGGCCTTACTGTCCCAAGCCACATTCTTGGAGAAGGAAATGGACGCCCAGAGTGGGGAAGGGACTAGGCCAAGTGCGCGGACATCATGGCCTCCTCCAGGCTCCTGGCTCCTCCCTTCTGCCCCAGGGCGCTTATGCCTCGGAGTAGACAGAGCCCCTAGCCGCAGCTGGCCATGGGGTGCTGGATAAGATGCTCAGCTGGTGGGCCCAGCTTCCTCCTCTGGAAAGGGGTCGTTGTGTCAGCTGAGGGAGGGAGAGGACACCGGAACGGTGCTCCCACGCGGCCCCCGCACCCTGCGCCCCGGCCCTCCACAGCCGCCTACCTTTGCGGGCTCCATGTTGAACTTCTTGCGCCCGATGCACAGCTCCTTCTCCTTCTGGGCCATCCGGCTGTGGACATGAGGACGTCAGCCTCCATGCCTCAGTACCCTGAATTACCCTCTCCACTCCCCAAGGACGTTGGCCTCCTCGGGAGCCCGTATCTCTAGGAACCTCCCAGTGGGGTCCCCAGGCCCTGCACAAGCATTCCGCAGCTCTCAGGACCGCGGAGCTGCCGTGGGGCAGCCTGTGGAGGGGCCCTGTGCAAGAAAACGGGGACAGGGAGCAAGGGCTGAGTGTACAGGTGCTGGAGCCAGGGTCCTGGATGTGAATCTGAGCTGAGCTGCTTTGGGCGAGTCAACCCCCCCGGGCCTCGGTTTCCCCATTTGTAAAATGGAGGTGACACCACCACCTGCCTCCCAGCATTGTTGAGAGGCTGAAGCACCTAACCGGCGAGGTGTAGGTGTGTTATGTTGTTATGGTGTGGCTGGGATAGGGGAGCTGGAGAAACGGCCACCTGTGTGTGTGTGTGCACGTGTGCGAGTGCACGTGTGTGTGTAGGGGAGGAGAGAAGGCTGGACAGGCGTGGACAGGTGGAGACCTAAGGGCTGGCAGGAGCAGGATGGGGAATTCCCAAGACATCGCACGTCAGAGTCAGTGCCCTGGGGCCCTAGGGGACTATGTAGCAGCCCTAACCTTCTTGTTCCATAAATGAGGAAACTGAGACCCAGAGAGGGACAGGATGTTCTCCAGGTCACAAAACAGTAGGAGTTTTTTTGGCTGGGTGCGGTGGCTCACACTTGTAATCCCAGCACTTTGGGAGGCCGAGGTGTGTGGATCATGAGGTCAGGAGTTCGAGACCAGCCTGATCAACATGGTGAAACCCTATCTCTACTAAAAATACTAAAAATACAAAAATTAGCCAGGCGTGGTGGTGTTTGTCTATAATTCCAGCTATTCAGGAGGCTGAGGCAGGAGACTCGCTTGAACCCGGGAGGTGGAGGTTGCAGTGAGCTGAGATCTGCCACTGCACTCCAGCCTGGGCGACAGAGCAAGACTCCTTCTCAAAACAAAAACAAAACCAAAAACCAAAACCAAAACAAAACAGAAAACAGTGGGAGTTTTCCATAGAGGCGGTGCGGGTGGCTGGCCCCGGTCTGCGGTAGTGGGGTGGGATGGGGCCCTGGGCTTCCTTGTCCTTGCCCTTTGGGCCTGAACTTCCCTCCTCCCCGCCCATCCCAGGATGGACGTGGCCAGTGATGGGTCAGGAGAGACTTTGGGTCGGGCAGGGGAGGAACGCAGTGTCTCTCAAGAGAGGGTCAGCCCGGAAGCAGGGACTCGACCAGACCCGGGCTGGGGCTGGGGCCGCCCTGTTCCTGTCTCGTTGTTGTTACCTCCTTCATCAGGGCCAATCCCTGATTTCACCAGGCCCGGGGGCCGGCGGTGGCCCGTGCTCATTCAAGGCGTATGACATCCCTGGGAAGCAACCGTGGCAGTTTCTGGGGGTCCCACCCAGGCCCCTCACCTCTCCTCCGCACTCTCGAAGCAGTCGATCTGGGCAAACACGTCTGCGATCTCATCCTTTAGCTTCTGTGGGGTGGCAGGGGGCAGGACAGGGAGAATCAGGGGTGGAGGCCAGAACCCTGGGGGTTTAAGACCGCAATGACCCCTCCCACCCGTGGGCATGACTCTCAAACCTGGCCGCTCTCCCTGACCTCTGCCCTGAGACCCCAATCTGAGAGACCCTCCACTGACAGGTCCCCTCCGTGGATGTCGCATAATCTCAGAGTCCTGTGTTAAACTGTCACCTGTGTCTGCACCCATGCCTCCGCTTGTCTTGGGGGGGTGGGAGTCCCCAAGCCCCCATCCCTTGCCCAACCTATTTCCAACCTTCCCATCTCTCTGCTCAGCAGCCATGAAGTCTCCTGACCTCTAGCTGAGCCTACCTGAAAAGCTGGCCTCCCCCTGCCTGCCTCCCCCCTGCCCGCCTCCCCCCTGCCCGCCTCCCTGCTGCCTGCCTCCCTCTGCTGGTGTGTTTCTGGAGCACTGTATGGAGCCTGCCCTTCCCCTGCTCAAATCCCTCCCATGGCTCCCTGCTGCCTCCTCAGTTTCTGCCCCAGCTTCTCTCTGGCTTCCCTTTATTTGATCTGTTGCTCACCCTGGACTAAGTGCCTGCTGTGTGTCAGGTACCATGGGGACACCACGCATAGGCAGCAGAGGCCCTCGTTTCAGGGACTTTGCAATTCCCCTGGGCTTTAGAGAAGAGGACGCTGAGGCGCAGAGAGACGACATGGCCTGCCCACAGATGCTGCTCCTGGGGCTGGGGCCAAGGCTGATATGGGCCAGAGGTGGCCACACTGACCAGGCTGGGTCAGGAGCTGGTGGGGTGCGTGCAAGCGTGCAGGAGTGTGCGGGCACGTGCAACGTGGCGTGTGTGGGCATGTGGACACGAGTGTGTGCTCACCTGGATGTCCTCCAGGAGCTGCTTCCGGTGCCACTTGATCCTCTGCAACTCTTCTGCCTCCCCGCTGCTCAGCTCCGTGGGCTCTGCAGAGAGAGAAGCAGCTTCGCAGCTTCCCCATCACCCGGCTCCGGCTATGCCCCCTTGCTCTTGCTACCTCAGGGCCCCCTTCCCTCCAGAAGCTCAGGACTTATCCTCCTCACTGAAGCCTGCCTCCTCCAGGAGGCCTCCCCGAATGTCTTTCTAAAGCAGCCCTGCTCCCTCCCCTCCC